CTCTACCGCCCACCGTTCCTTGTTCCTTTTAAAGATGGAGCCAGATCTGCTATGCCTTCTCACTCTAGAGAACCTGTGTTCCGAGCAGACACGCGTCATCAGATCATGCTCCACCGAAAAACCTAGGAAATTTACTTGTAGCAGGTGATTTAGAGTCTTCTTGTTATCGTTCGTAAAGATGCCGTCTTGTCTCCTTGGAAGACAAAATTATATGCAGACGGTCGGCCTTTCAGGTCGCGGTGTTTGTTGTTCAGCTACACCCAAGAATAACTAACTAACTAACAACAAATACTGATAATCTTCTTCCCTTATCATATTTGGCAATTTATTTTTCAGTTTGGTAACATTACATGTTTGGTAATTAGAGTACCCCACAAACTAATGCCAATACAGGCCCGTTCTGACTTTAAAAATGTGCCTATTCTTATACTCCCCACGCTGCTTCACGGAAGTTTGGTAGTGGGCTCAACTTTCCTTGCCAATTCATTAACTTTGCAATTACCATCAATATCCCGGTGTACTTATGATCAAAAATTTCTCAGTAACGAACAAGAGTGAAAGTTTGTATGGAACTTAGGAGAGTTTAAGAAACTCTTGCAAACCTTCAAGCATTGATAATTTTGAAAAATTTTCGTCTACGTCGATATCTTGGTCAAGACTTGATAAATGCTTATTTTAAAGGGCTTCAGAGTTTGAGTTTTTTTTTTGTAAATATGGCCAAAATTGCCGCCTCATAAAAAAGTGTCCAACGGTGAAGAGCCGAATGATCTCGATAGCCAAAGATGGCCACATATCATCGCCACACTAGTTTGGACATCGTGAGTTTTGCCTTTTCTATCCGTAGGAAAGATTATTTTCGAGGACGCCAGTGTCCTGTCTTTAGTGTGCTCTTGAATACAAAGGACATTTCTCTTTCGAATCCTTACCTCAGTAACAGCACTTGTGGTTTCATTCTCTTAAAGACTGAGATGGCTTCGGACATTACAAACAAAATTCGCTTCCAGAGACCTTTTTCTTGATGTGGGAGTGAAAAATTAAGCTATACTCGTATCCTGGGCGACGTAACTTGTTTGGCTGTAGGCGGTTTCTTAGATTTGCCCAACCTCGAACTAAGCTACGTCACAGCGAAAGATTGTCTACCCAATCGCAGTCATCCTTATCCGAAGGATTTTAGGATCCCTCTTTTACCCGAAACTGAAATATTTTATACCTGTAGACAGGTAATCGGTCCTGCCGCACAATATTTAAGACGCAGATCAGGAAGTTGACGTTATATAGATCTCCGTAGCGCGTTCTCTGGGTCCGGCATAATCAAGTGAGTCAGCTTTGTAAGGTCGGGATGAAACTTGAGAGTCTGCGGTAAAGGTTATGAGCAGAGGTGGACACTACCACAAACAAGCGTTCGCTAAAAGTGAGAATGTGTTAGTGTGCCTACTTCATTTTGCATGCTGCCGCGTTCTCATCGTTACGCTCTTGCTTGTATACGTACACGTGATGGTTATGCTCTTTGAGCGTGTGCTCGTTCTCTGCCTATGCCTGGTTATGAGTCTTGAAGGGCAGTTCTTGAGGTTCTTAGTTTGTAAGCAGTTGACATATATATATGTATTCACTTTACACTTGCATTAGATCCACTAGCGCAAAGCGCAAATTCGTTAGTTTGAGAAGCTTTATAGTGATGACATCTGCAAAAGAGCTGTGCAAAGTTCTAAACATTTTCTTATTGATTATGCTATTGGTTCCGATGTAGTGGTTAATATAGTGTATGTATGTAAATAATTCTTCAATGAAACTGAAGGCTTTCGTGGCAATTATCATCGTTGTATTAGATTTTCAATGCTTAAGGCCTCTGAATGCGGTTTTCTTTTTCTTCAGAGTATTTTGAACAAAAAAGCAATTGTACTTGGATGCGATATTTTTGTATATACGTATGTACATACGTACATATGCACGTATTTATTAACTCGAATTTACGCTATCTTTTTGCTGCATAATTGAATACCTATGCATCTGTTGCGCAAGTAAGTTAAATTAGTTCGGTATAACTAAATGAAGGTTGATTTGTGGCTCGAATGTACTTGAAATATCAAGAGTCAATGAATTGCATAGTTGCATTCTGTGGATGCTCAATGTAGAAAAAAATATTGTAAAATACGTACTTAGTTCTTCCTCTTACTGTATCACTACCAGCGCGTGCCTTATAGATATGCAGATATGACCAAGCTAGAGCAGCCGATATCCATATATTACAGGCCAATCCTAGCTAAGATAGTGGAAAGTTTGTAAGTTTTTGGGAAGGCATTAGGCAAGATAATTTGAAAAAATTCCTTTCGTCTGGCTCGAAGGTCTTACAAGAAACTTCTTGACAACTTTCATGGTGAAAGGCGGAATTTTTTACTTTTTAACATATTTTCTCTTAATATGTAGATTTTACTTTTTCTGAATTTAATTCATCTTGAAAAAACTTATTTTATATATTTTTTATTTGATAAGAGATGGCGGAAAATCGTTCCACAATACATGCATTATATTTGTTTGTAATTAAATTTTTTTCTTTTTTAATAAAATTGTATTTATATATTTTGCTCTTATTGTGTTAAAAGGAAGTTTATTTTTAATTACATTTAATGTTAAGAAAATAATTTTGTTTCCTTTTTATAATAAATTTTTTTTTCTAATTGTAACTAAATTTGTTTAATCGATATATCTTATTGTTTTAGAAAGAAAAATATATACTTTTTGGTTGCATTTAATTTTTAAGAAATACTTTTTTTTCCTTTTCTTAAGTAATTTGTTTCCTATTTTTAACTTAATTTTGTTTAGCCTTTCAGAGTTTACTGTTTTGAAAAGAAATTTTTTTCACATTTTTTCTTTTTTTTTTTTAATTAAATTTTCTTTTAATGTTCTGTTTTTATTGTTTTAAAAAGGCAAAAAAATATATACATATTTTTCTTTACTTTAATTTTTATAAAACTTATAGCTAAAAGACAAACACAATAACGCTAACACCTCCGCTTAGGCAGATTTTTAAATTAGTCCTTCGAAAGGAAAAGCGAGCTTTCATTATAGTTGCCAGAATTGGCAATTTTCTTTTTTTTTTTCTTTCAAAAGACTGTGATGAGAAAGACAGTTCGCACACCGTCTTCAAAAGAGTCACAACTCAAAATTTGGCGTTTTTGAAATTATGCGCTAAAAATGTACACAAAGCTTTTATTTACCGTGCAGCAAAAGCTGGAGCAAATCTTTGTTATAATTTTTCAAAAAATATCTTTAAATATATATATCGTTATAATTTGTTAAAAATAAGCTTTTTCCCCGCACACCCAAAGTGACACGTCGTCAAATAATACCATCGTCCACCCTACCCTGTTGGATTTACTTGCCAACTGTCTCACAGACCAAGAGATCTTCTACTTTGCAATTCTAGGGAGACATCCTCTATTATCTCTAAATTATAAGTGTCGACAGTGACATGGGTACTTTCTGTTGACCAGTGCGCTTTACTTCTCTATATTATTTCGAATAGGCAGGAGAACTGACAGATGACTTATTGTAAATGGTTCCTGAGTATATTTGCTCTGTAACGTTTGTTAAAGTCTCCATCATCAGGTTGAATATTGAACTTCATATTGAAGATGATGACAAATCCAGTTTCAATCGATCATTCCACTACCACTGCTGAGCCCGTAAAATGCGTATTCAAATTCTTATGTAAAAATTCTATTCATACAACACCGAATTCCTGTGTGCATTGATAATGGCTGGAACAGTTTTTCTCAGGAAAAAGCCTTAAAACCTGTAAGTAGACATGTTTGGAATCGAGTTAACCACTTAATTGGACATTTCCGCACATTTCGAAATTAGGACTTTCTACCACTCTCAGACCACCGAGCGTCGTACTACTTGTTTGTTTAGACTCTTTGAAATTCGATAACTTCTCTAACGTGGCTATACAGGAGACGAACTTTGTCAACCCTTATCTCGCGAGAAACCATCGCAGAAAGCAGTTGTATCCGTCAGCTTTTTTGCGTTATTGGACCACTGGCGATCAGAAAAATATTTTACTCTGAATGTCTGGACCAAAGAATCTTTCTGTCTATAGACTCAGGGTTAAACTCTCTCTATGCACGTCTGCGCTGTTCTAGTGCCATATACTTCCATGTTTCGGATCCCGATGAAATTGATATTATTCGATCCGTTATCAGATGTTTAATTTTTCGACTGCTAAACCAAAAATCTTTTTGTTTCATTAGTCGCTGAGCAAGATAATTATGAGGCCGGACTGGGCGATACAAATTATCCGGATTTAGCTAACTGGTGGGAATAATATTGGTATGAATATTCAAAAATCCTGGTAACTTCGTTTCGGCCACAGATGAACAATCAGGCATGGATGAAATATACATTTTGTTTGGTAAAGATTTCATGGAGTGATAGCAACTGGCTGATTGGGGGCTGCGATTTTGCTAAGCTTACTTTTTGTTGGGTACTTACAAAAATTCAAAATTGATGTAATAGTAACAAATGCAGAAATCACACAAGGTCGCATCTGAGGATATAGAAACTTATATTTGTGGTCCTAGAGAGAGAGACAAAACTGTTAACAACACCTTCTGATCGTTTGATCTAAGTGAGATGGGGCAAGATCCCTGAAAAATTATAACTACAGAGGATTCAGTGGCATTTGGTGATATGGGTTTATGGTAATTATTTTATTTAAACAAAAACTATGAAATGGTGACAATTTGCTACAACTAAATAATAAATAATAGATTGGCGCTTACATAATACGTTAGTGGTTGGCCGAGCTGCTCCTCCGATTTGTGGTGTGCGTGTTGATGTTGCCACACAAAGGGGAGGGACCTACAGTTTTACGCCGAATCTGAGCACGCGATTGAATCTTTATGAGAATATGTTTTAAAACAGTGTTTTAATTTCGAGATTTATAATGTCCGCATTCCGCTGGGCATAAAGTGACGAAAATATTGGTGGCATTACTTCGAAGTAATTTTCATCAATTGGTTTTTTAAAGGAACTAAGTTTTTGTCATTTCAATTCCTAGTGAATATTCGGCATAAGTTTTGAACTCGATACAGAAATGTACATTACTGCCTCCGCTTTCCGTTTGATTAAATTTATCTCAATAAAATTCCAAGTGTAGTGCATATGAGAATTTTTCTTGTGCTTCTCTCAGCGTAGCCTTTCGTGTTTCTGGTATTGTGATTGAGAGGAAGACTACGCCAGCAAACATTATTACGCCAGCAGAGATGCAGAAGATATATTCATTGTATCCATCAAAAGTGAATGTGCATACTATGATCAGATCCACCATATATTGAACAAAGACAGTAAAAGCGATGAAACAGCGTTTCCATTGCAACGGAAATGCCTCACCAAGATAAATTGTAGTACTGGGCGCAAATATTCCACCAAAAATTTGTGCAATCATTAGAAGCGTGCAGGCAATCGCCATTTGCGTGGAATCAATCAGCCATGTTGAATCATGAAAGATAACACCAACACCGATGGTCAAGCCAGCGACACATAATAACGAAATAAGACTCACCGCCTTACGACCAATGGCATAATTTGTTACGGTACCCACAACTACACCCAATAGCGTTAGAAATCCATAGAGAATAGGTGGCCAATTGACATTTAAACCTCCAACGCTGATATCCGCAGACCAATTTAGAGCTTTGGTAATTGGCAGTGCTACGATAAATGAAAGCATAGTTCGGTACACCAAAAGCCTTATCAGCGGGCTCAAACTCCCCAAGAAGCTCATTCCCGGCGACATCGATTCATTCATAGCCACATATTCTTTGAGTTTGTTAAAGATGGCTTGCTTGCTGTTGTTCATTATAGTTGGCCGATATAGGCGTATTACGCAATTTAAAGCTTCAGGTTCATCACCTCTTCGCAACTGGAGAACTGGCGAATCGATCGAAGTAAATGTCAAAGCCGTTGCAATAATACCGAAAACTATGCAAAATATGCCTTGCAGGCAGTAGGGATTGAAGTCTGTGTCTTCACGCCAAGTTGCGGTGTATATAATTTGTATAAAAGCGCCGATTGCTAGAGCAAGTTGTTCCAATGCCAAACAAAAGCTCCGGTGATACTCTGATGCAATTTCACTGCCATCTGCAATGAATGAGACTGTAATCAGGCCGATGGCAATGCCATTCAAGTAGCGCGCAGCGATCAGTGCTGTGGTATTACTGGAAGCAGTTATGCTGACTATGGCTGAAACATTGACCATTAATATCGGAGAGAACTGTATGGATGGAAAATATTTGAAATAAGGATGCGCCGATGTTCTTATACTTTTTTAATTATTTTCGCTTTTACACCTGTACTTACGATAATCAGTCGTTTATATTTCCAAAGGGCAAGCAGTGGTGCGAGCACACAACCTATTGCTATCCCAATAAACCAGCATACTTGGAAGTGTAAATTAAATGCGATAAAGCTCCAGCCCACACTTACGGCCAAATGAAAGCCGCCGGTTATAAAAACGAAAACCTCTGTAAATAAAAAAAAAAATATTAAATACAAATTTTGATTTCTAGTCCACGCCAATGAATGCCACTAACTCACCTGATAACAAAGCATTGGACTGTGGAAGATCAGTCGAAAATCGTCCCCGGTTTTCTATGGAATTAATTGTAGTCATTTTGTCAAATACTAGTTAAGCAAAAAAAGCGCAAAATAACAACGCGAATAAAAGGAAAAATGCGAGAAATGTTAAAAATGTATAGCGTGTTCTTTTCCCTACGCTTGTGGTTCTGCGCTCCATGAAGCTTTCGATAATACTAAAGCGAAAAAAACTTTTTGTTTTCCACTATCAAAATGATTCATGTCTTATCTCTCTGTGAAATATTTAAAAAGGGAGGTAATAAATTCGGCATGCACACCTTTACATTCATTTATGTTTTTTTTTTATAGCTCCACCTAAGTTAAATATATTAAAAGGCAGAGGAAAGCAAAATATTTTGTGTTTCCATTTTTCTTTACGTCGAACTAATTCACAAAATTTGTGCTGTGCATCTTGGCGCTATCACATAAATCGAGTAGCATACAGTTTACGTAGGCTTCGTGTTTTTGTTAGTAGCTTTTTCATTGCCAAAATAGATCTGTAGGTTTGCCGTTCACTGCGGAAGGGCGACCGCTGTTATTAAAAACCAGGAATGGAAACTGTATCCCACGGAGTCGTACTCTAACCACTCAGATACAAGTGGAAGTGACTGCTGCTAGGTACACCGATATACTTAGGCCCTCAATCGGACCTACTGTGATACCACAAAGCCATATAAACCAATATGTGGTTTTGATGAATTTTAGAAAAAGCCTTATTTGTGGCCATGGGAGCAGAAGTCGCCTAACCCACAGTATTTCTTTTTATACCCGAGCGCACTTGTGCACAAGGGTATATTAATTTTGTTCACATAACGGTTGTTTGTAACAGCCAAAACGAATCGAGATAGATATAGACAAATGTATACATAAATGATCAGAATGAAAAGAGAAATCGATTAAGCCATGTCTGTCTGTCCGTCCGTCTGTCCGTCTATCCGTCCGCCCGTGTACACGATAACTCGAGCAAAAATTGAGATATCTCAACGAAATTTTCTACGTAGGTTTGCATTTATCCAAGGTAGGTTGGTATTGAAAATGGGCGAAATCGGACTGTAACCACGCCCACTTCCCATATAACGGTAATTTTCAGAAATACGAAAACTGCGATATTTTAACTACTGGAGATTATTCACTCAAAATTGATATTTACAATAAGTTTAAGACGAAAAATAAGAGTATTATAAATTTTCGGAAAATGGGCGTAGCTACGCCCACTTATGGTTACATGTGCATATCTTGGTAACCGCTGCACCAATTTCTTCCAAACTTGGCACAGTTGTTGGCCTTCGCACAACATACCAAATGGCCGAAAAGTTTTAAAATCGGACAATAACCACGCCCACATCCCATATAACGGTAATTTAGAGAAATACCAAATCTTCGATAAATCAGTAAATATTAAAGCTAATTTATTCAAAATTGATGCTTGCAACAATTCTTAACCAAGAAATACGTTTGTGATATAATTTTGGAAAACGGGCGCGGCACCGCCCACTTATGATCACATATATGTATCTCGGTAACCGTTCTACCAATTTCTACCAAACTCGGTATGGTTATTGTGCTTGCCACATAAAAGCAAAACGTTGAAAATTATTGAAAGCGGACTAAAATTGAGGCTGCTTTTCATATAACGGTAAATTTCAGAACTGCTTGAAACTTCAAAATTTCGAAATCTAAGGACTCTAATTTACTCAAAATTGATACGCCCCGGCTTACCATGTAGCAGTAGCTTTCGGTAAGGTGAGAAACATATATTTGATACGTGCGCCGGGTATTTAATGTTCGGCTCCGCCCGAACTTAGACCCTAGACTCGACCCTATTAAGCTGGCATTTCAGGGTACTATTTTATATATATATATAAGGAAAATTTGAAAGTTAGGGGGGTTAGCGCCTACCTGGCTTCGCCCATGGGACCCACAGTTTTACGCCGCCACCTAACGGCAAATAGATTTATAGAAGCTTTTTTCGTGGCAGAAATACACTCGGAGGTCTGCCTTTGTTTGCTGAGGGCAACCGCTATTATTAAAAAAAACTTTTTCTTTCAGCAGCTGCGCTCTTAACACCCTAACGGTTTAGTTTATTTTGCTCATCGAATTTTCTGTGCCTTTCTTCGACTTAGCGAATTTACCTTTCGTTGAATATAAATGCAAAGAAAGTAATTCCTTTCGGGAACGATGAACGATGCATTTAAAATTTTTCTTGCTTCTTATATGAAAATATGAGTTTTCACAAAAAAGTGGACTTAGCCACTTTTCACGCTAAGTTGGCGATATATATATTTCTATAGATAAATTAGGGTACACAAAGTTTCGACAGTGGCAGCGTGAATGATAACAAAGTTTGTTAGTTAGTGGGAAAACGAGTATATTCTTATCTTAATCGATGACATATTTACGAACATAGAGTGCTTGTTAACATGCAAGCTTTTTTAAATATTACTGTTAATACATATCATACTTTCATAACCTCCTCGTATGCATATACAGGAATATGTATGTAAGCAATATGGACGAATACTGTTAAAAATAATTTAAAAAAATTCATTTTTTGTTTTCAACAATAAATAAAGGTAAACATCAAAACCCATTCAATAAGGTAGAACTGATGTCAATATTTCTCTCTTCTAAACTGCGGCTTAAGTAGAAAACATGGAACAAAAGAGTTTAAATGTTATTGAAATAGTTTTTATTAAAAGTTTTCATATGAATATTTTTTTGACAATATAGTCAGTTAAAATGAGAGCTTAATTTGGTTGTCACTTCAACCTTGTTAAATATATCTTGGTAAAAATTCGTGTTACAAAATTCCTATGGAGAAAAAGAGAGTAAAAAACCATGATTTTAAACCCGCTCAGAGAGAGCTTTTACTCTATGCGCGCCAATATAAAATCTACAGAGTGCTTAAAAGAGTTCCGCCCGTGGGCACTGTTTTGAGCATTAATGTTTTATATGTACAATGAAGCAAAATTCTGATTTCGCACTACATATGTATGGATGTAGTATGTATGTATGTTGTTTAGGCGCGACTACAAACACTAAGCGCCTAAATGCACGATATGTTCTGCTGTATGTACAAAAATTCCCTTCATTAAATTAATTTAAAATTTTTGCACATGCACTTCTCAATTGCCATATAATAAAGTTTTCTAAAGTTATAATTTGACGACACTTCAGAGTATACTGGGCCTAGTCTAACACATCTTCCGGACAATGCTTCTGGAGTTTTTTGTGAACTCTACGTGGCTTACAACTATGCAGTGGTGGTAACTGATGATTACCCCTGTCACAGCGCCAACCCACATATTTTTAAACTAATAAATATATATTTTTTTACATAAATACAAGAAAATATCCTGGTCTTCCCTCTCACTAAGTTATTAATAAATGTATACTTAGTTCTAGTTTTACAATTCTGAATCAGACGCCATTAGCGTATGGTGGGCCAAGACAAGTGTTGTTCCGACGATTTGGGATCAAACGGGAAGGTGTGTTATTTAATTCGGTTTGAGTAGGCAGGTGAAGAGTTGGTTGATATCGTGGGGCAGATTTCACAAGCCGGAAGTCGTCGAGTTTGAACAAAAACCAGTCTTTCGCGATAGCTAAAGCTCATGGGCCGCTAAGGATGTTGATTTGGGCTCCAATAACGGAACAGATGCGGCGAGAGTAACTCTAAATGTGGTGATGGACTGTCTGTGAATGCTGCCTATGGCTTGTCGGTACGCTGTCGGGTTCAGTGAATGGGTAACGTATGTATGTTTAGGTAGCGTCCGTGAGTTCCAAGGGAGACCTTCTGACGTGCCTGGGAAGAGGTTTTGCTTAAAGGAAGTGTCTGTTCGAATGTTTCCAGCGATAACAGCCGACCAGAAACTGCTTCTTAAGCATTATAATGTGTTCTTTAACTGGGTAAATTGAGACTTTAACGTGGGGGTAGTGCTCGTGTGACATTGGAAACCAGCTTCGCAGCAACGGAGTAAGCGTCGATATTAAAATTAATTGATATCGTGGATAGGCCACCAACTTCTTTTAGGGCTTATTAGCTTCGATGTTCGATCACGTAAGATTGATAACGTCTGTAATTCTCCATCTATAGTTTTAAACCTTGCACACACCAAGGCGATAGCGACAAGTATAGAGGTAGCGATAGAAATTGAACGTATGTAATACGTGCTGCGTTCGATTTCTATCGCTATCTCTATCGCTATCGTTATCGCGTTGGTGTGCGCAATGCTTAAGTCCCTGCGGGAGAGGCGATACCTCTTTTAGCAGCTTGGAATGGTAGAAGGTGTCCAGCACACCAGGTCAGTTTACGTCTGTACAAATCCACATATGGCCCACGTAATATGGCCTTTGGCAGCTACGCCTAGCCTTGTTGCATTGTCGTCACAGGTCTGTTATGCTATCATTCCATTAATAGGATTTACTTATGATTGAAGCATCGAAAGCTCTTTTAATACCGGCTGATAAGCAATTTGCCGCATCCGCAGCGGCCTATGATCGAATACCACTAGGAAGGTGCATTTTCGTCAAACGTAATCCACTTCTAGCCGACTGATTTTTATTCCTGACGTGCTTTGCATTTGTCTTGCATCCTTTATCGTGAAGATGATCGTCCCTTGGTATACTTATCACTTTTTTCCGAGGAAGCACATCACCTTAAGATTTTTTTGCTTCCTTAAAATTAAGCTTTTTGGAAATGTTTTTCTTAGAAACACATTCGGAATATATTTCGCTCGAAATTCCAACAGGGCTTTTACATGTTCGATTATCTGAGCATTTCCACAAATACATACATAAATGTCATAACATTGATAACTAGTTCAAAAGTATAAACAAATTTACCGTGAAAGGATAATATTGAGAATTATGTTAGCTTTTCAAAATATACATTTTCATTAAGCTCCACTAGCCGCTAAAGCATGTTACTTTGAAAAAATGTGTTTTGTCGGCACAAATAAAAAGCCATCATGGCATGCTAGTAAGTAAATGTCCATGTGATAAAATGTTTGACATTGTGAAATTTAAAGCAGTTGTATTAAAAAAAATGGAACCTCGTGCAATGAGTAATCAAATGCAAATGAAGCTTGGAATTAGTTGTTGACACGCGACGATAAGTTGAAAGATTTTAGGCGAAAAAAATAATCGCATATTAACGGTGTTGTTCATGGCACCAACAGCATTAAAATATCTTAAGTTTGATTATAAAAAAAAGGGTGTGCAAAGGTAACAGTCATAGGCAAAAACACCTATAGTTACCTATGAAAATCTTAGCGATATTTTTATTTTTTTATTGAAAATAGACACGAAAGTTGCGTGGAATGACTCAAAGTCTATTGCCAGTCCATCTTTAAATATTAAATACGTATATTAAAATATCTGTGCCTTTTGGAAATCCCGCGTAGATTTTTCAGATCCTTGAGAGGTTATTGTTTATACATAGAATGGCCCATTAAAAATTCTAATTTGTTTAAGTTGTTAGTTTGTGGAATTTATTATTTTAATTACTATTGATTTACTGAGTTATAATTAAAACTTATTAGCTACATACTTGTTATACCTAGGTTAATATTTGAAAAACATGCATTAAGGTGGTCCAAAAATTCACAAGAAAATCAACTTTTGGATGTTTTTTTGTCGCCACTCCCCAGAATTATAAAAAGTGGAATATGCATAAGAAGCCTATTTTTTATTTTGAAATCGGTTAATATTTAACCGTGCCGCCGGGGCTTGATGAAAATACATTTTTTCGTCAAATTGTTACAAAATCGTTAAAAATAAATTATTTTTGATCGAATATAAATGTTTTCTTCCAGAAAATTTTCAACAATATAAAAACGTGCGTGATGAGGTTAAGAACACATAAAATAACACATTTTTGTAAATCAGAGATGAGATTATCTGTTATGTAAAGAAAAGGAAGCAAAATTTTAAAGTTGTTTGAAGGTTTCCGAAGGTAAATATTTTTATTTGATAAAAAATATGTATTGTTAACGATTGTATGGCAATTCTACGAAAAATTCCCATATGAAATATATGGGAAAATTCAAAGCTCTGGCGGCACGGTTAAATATTAATTCGACTTCATAATACAAACGCGGGTCTCCTTATTTTGCATATTCTGCAGTTCTAGTGGGTAGCTGGAAATTTTTTTTTTTACCACCCTAATGTATGTATGTATGCATATCTACATATTGTTTCGCCATGCTTATAAGATGACCTTGAAATAAACGTGCATGCGAAAAAACTTTTACTTTTAATCCAGTTATTAACAGGATATCTGAAAACTCAAATCGAAAGCTTTCAGTCTCTCCGCCTGCCTTTTTACAAGCTTTTATTTTTTTTCTCAAATTGGTTATGCTAGCAACAAGTGTTTAAGAAAAAGCTTTCACAGTGAAATCATCTTTCAAAGAACTTTTGACAGCAGCGAACAACCAAATTTTAATTCCTCGAAAGCTTTACAAACTATTCAAACTAATCAGCAAGAGCTTTCATGCTTACCAAATCACTTACGATATCTTAAAGTTAAAAAAGTATTCGAATAGCTCTTGCGCTTCGCGTAGTTTCGTTTTTCTAGTTTCGGGCAACATAAAGCAGAAAACAATTGCAAAAAATATCATAATTACACCAATAGTAATGCAAAAAACATACTCATTGTGCCAACTGTAGTCGAACGTACAAATTATAACTAAACCAACAATATTTTGCACAATTATACACAGTCCAATAAAGTAGGGCTTCACTTTCAATGGAAACGCCTCACCGAGATAAACCGTTGTGCTGGGTGCAAAAATGCCTCCAAGAAATTGTGCGATCATAAGCAAAGCGCAAACTATTGACATTTGTGCCGCATTCGTCATATTCGACTCGTTGCGGTACACAATACCCACACCGAGCGTCATGCCACCCGCAACCGCCAATGCGCATAAACTCAGCCACTTGCGTCCTATGCCGCCCAGCGTTGTCGATCCAACGACAGGGCCGAGTAAACCGAGAAATCCATATAGCACCGGATGCCAGTTGATAACGTTAGGCGCACTGACAAGGCCGCCATCATTTAGCGCCAACTTGATCGGCCATGCAATGATGAACGAAAGCATACTCCGATAGATAATCATCTTGATGAGCGGCACAAATCCTTTCAGCAAACTTTCTCCCACAGACATTGTATTATTCACAGAAACATACATTTTGATTTCGGTTATTGCCGCTTGCTTATTTTCCGTCAAAATCGGTGGCTGGTAGAGTATATTCACACAAGCTACAGCGCTCGGTTCATCACCTTTTCGCATATGAAAAATTGGTGAGTCGATTTGTGTGTATGTCATGAATGCGGCAACACAGCCAAAGAATAGATTGCACAAACCCATTAGGAGATTGGGGCTGAAGTTTGTGCCCGATATCCACAGTGCAGTGTATAGCATTTGAACGTAGACGCCAATAGCTAAACCGATTTGCTCGAAGGCTAAACAGAAACTACGTCGATGTTCCGAGGCGATTTCACTGACGTGCGTTATGAAAGAAACTGTCGCGAGGCCTATGCAGATGCCGTCAAGGTATCGAGATGCGATCAGTACGCCCAAGTATTGGTAGCCGGATACAGCGACAATGGCAGAAGCAGCAACAAGTAGATTTGGCAAGATCTGTGAAAGTGTGAGATAAATTAATGCAGGTTAATAATGAGGAAAAAAATGTATGTTAAATATTTATGTATGTATATATTTTTGTATTAATTATTAACAAAAGTTATGCCTTTAGATTAAAGTAGGCTGTTGACAGATAAATAGTACTCGTATTTCGGGGTTCGTACGGTTTCTTAAATTAATAGATACTTGGTAATTATCGCCACTGGGCATATTCATCGTCGGCAACAGCAGTGGGATCAAAGGAAGTGAAATCGAGAATTTTAAGGAAATATCGAGCCCCTTTCGCACCATAGAACCAGAATGCTCCACTTGTTTCCAGGGCATATATTTGCAATATCAAAGGGAACGAAATAGCTGACAAGATAGTCGAACTGTACTCTGATATATAAACTAACGAGATAACCATCGCTTCATTGGCCCTGTGTTTGTTTACTGTTGCAGATGGGCAATTGGTAAGAGAACGGGCCTTTTTTCTGGGCTCTGTGAAACCATAGTTAGGTCCATATTGAGCCAGACGGATTACACTAGAAAAAAACTACGCTAGTTAGAAAGCTTGAGTGCGTGCAATGGCAGGTAAGGCAGCTACAGACCTTTTTACGGCAGCAGAAATCTATTAGCCGACAATCCGGTTGCGGGCCCACCGTCTACTTCATCTCGACTGGTCGATAGGTTTCAATCTATCCTAACTATCTTGAAAGCCGATCGACAGACTATCTTAACTCGGTGAACTATCCTAACACTATACTAGCCCAGCGATGTCACAACAACTATATTAACTCCTTTGTGTCTTAACTCAACAGCTTAACATACGAAAGAAAAACTTTGCTCGTCCTATTTAAGATAGTTTGTCTGCCAAAGCTGAGATAAGATAGTTTGTCTAAGAGCCTGCGTTAGTATAAAGTTAGGATAGCTCATCGAGATAAGGTAGTATTTCGCACGGCGTTCAAGATAAGATAGGGTAACGGCTATCCACCAGTTGGGATGAAGTAGCCCGGGCTATCGACTCAAGAGCAACGTGTGCTTAACTGACGCAGGATCTGCGCACTCTAATATTCGTGGAGGCTCTAACATCATGGCCAGACTGGTACCAATAATATATTTTCACTGGAGAATTTTTTCTTTTCTATTAACTAAAAATTTATGCATCCAGATCACTGTGATCATTTCCGTGCCATGAAGTAAGCATTCAGTTGGCTGCTTATTTGCTCGACGGTCACTGCTGGGAATTTTCTGTCCAGATTTTATATGGGTACCAGCGCATAATGGCAAATGAGCTGACCAGCAAAGGCACCCTCAACTAGGCCTCACTGAGGAAAGAAACAGTACGAGTACCTTTGACTACATGTGGACTACTCTTGTATAGATGAGCCTTCTGCTTGCTCAGCGAAGACTGGGCAAAAACCTCAAAATTTCTAGCCAGGGGTGAACCGAAATCAGCTGCTTTCTAAACTTCGTTTTTGGCACCGAGTATTTTTCTCTATAGCTTACTAAACAAACAAGCCTAACCTAACCTCCGCTAAGTGAACATAATATGTTATATTATAAAGAAAATTGGAAAATTTTCTACAGCTATCATAAGTTACCTTTGAAACAAATGAGATAGTGTTGGGAGCTCAAGCTAAATATAGCCAGGATTAAACAGGAAATAGACGGAAAACCATCTGAAACGAAACCAATCTGCGGTAAGGGTTTTTATCGTTGTCATTGTATGACATTATTGCGCTATGGCACCAATTCTCTAGAGAAGGTGCTATGAGGGAGGCGAGAAGGAATCCATTAAGGCCTTTCTGTATCGATGTCTAGAGTTTCAGTCCAAGCCTAACGAAGATGCCGAAGCTGGCACCTTTACCTCTTTCAGGATAGCAAGTGCATTTAATTCAGCAGTAGATGGAACAAATCTACCAAAGCCAAATCCTAGAAAATCAGAATATCCTAATGGAACCGCTTCGGATAAATCTAAATAGGCCTCTGCTTTAGCCAGTTTGTCTGCCTTAAAATAACGACAACGGATGTTTCTATTACTATAAGTGGCACCTGCGGTCTGCTAGGATCATTGCTTCAGTCGAAGTGGAAGAAGTCTATGCGAGGCACTTGTTGAGCTTCCAACCTGCTATCACTTAACGAGCTCCATCTTGGACCTGTGCATGTGGAGAGGAATGGCTTCCTCGTGGTTAACCTATGTGGGAAATGGAACTTTACGTATTTGCTTCCAAGGTGGCAGCCGCTCTATCCTAACCTAACTTAAGCCTTTGCTGAAATTTATGCTAACTGCCATACCGAGGCCTACCGCGAAAATAACCTAAGTGACATTTTTACTTGATTTTTTTTTGTTGCAGAAATTCATGTAGATGCTCTGTCATTTCTGCATCAAAAAGAGGGTAGAAAAAAACTTACGCTTACGTCCGTTTTTTTTCGAAATGAATGGATGTTGCATAATTTTTATCATTTAATATGTGACCCTTTATAAAAAAAAACTGTAGCTGCTTGTAGGACGCTTTCACTTATAATGGTGTCAAATCGGAACTCAATTTTTTAAAGGCCTCAATATCGTCATCAAAAGAACAAAAAACAGTACGCACTTATATAAGTACTTACAATAAATAATCGCTTGCGTTTCCACTGCACAAGTGGTGGAGCAATAAATGCACCAATCGCTACGCCAATATACCAACAGATGCGAAATTGTAGTGTGTATTCACTTTTCGACCAACCAACGCTGACAGCTAGATTCATGCCACCAGTCATGAAGATGAAGAAATCTGTGCAAAAATATCGAATCATTACTACACTACACCAGCGTCAAAAGTGTTAAACACACACTATTTATGCACTTGTATTTACATACCCGATATAACCGCTAACGTTTGTGGGCGATCTACCCATAAACGGTTATAACTGTTTGTCGTATCGGCAACCATCCTAAAAGTTAAAAGTTAAATGCTTTATTTTCAAAACTGTTAAAACACCCGTTAACTGGATAGGAGTCGTAGTTCCTAGCTCCATGAGCGCGAAAAAAGTACTGACAGCTCCATTGATAGCCTTCTTATATAAATGACTTTTTTTTGTACTTATTTTTTTCGTTTATCTAAGCGCCAAATAAAATTCATATGTATGTAAGTTAGGGCGGAGTAATTTGTTCGCACTAAAATTTTCGAAGAAAGTGTATAGCAAATTAAAAATTTAGAATAATTCTAAGCAAGAATAGTGAAAAAACTATAGACAAAAAATGATGTTTAACCCTCCCAATTTTCATATGTAAAGGCATTAGATTGTAACTTGTTTGGTCGAAATTTATTTTTCATTGTACCAAAAAAATTTGTACATAATTTTATATTTTCTCGACTTCGTGAAGTAGTCTCTTAAATATGAAGAAAACACAAACTTTTGTAAATCAAAAATTAATGTCGTTCAGCAAATAGTATACTGCACTAATTTTCCCTTCTATTAAAAATTGGGAGTGCCAAACGTTATTTTTGGTATATAGTTTATTCACCATTTTTGCTTAGAATCGAACGTAGAGTTCGAATATGCCATACACTTTTTTCGAAATTAAATTACTCTGCCCTAATGTACATATCTGTGTGTTTGATAGTTTAACAACACTGGTTCAAGAATGCCAGATAGTGTCTAGTTTGCTGAAGTTCTGATGCAAAGAACTAAGTACCCCCTAAATCCTTTTGTTGATTACATTTTTAGCTTAGCGTGAAATCCTAGTGATTTTATGTAGATTTTTGACATGTGTATTTATAAATGGTTCAACAAGAAAACAGAAAAAATAGTGTGTTGTGTAAGGCTCTAGTTAGAACCGTTGGTGGAATGTACACAGAACCAAATAGTTTAGTTTAAATAGATAGGCTATATACTAGTTACTATCAGACATGCCTGTAGTCAACTCATAATGCCTGTAGATAATTTCAAAGAAAATAATTTACCAACAAGGCAACTCAGAAAATCTGGTAAACTCATATAGAGCGATTGCCGTCTGTACTTTTCCAATAAAAACCTTAGAAAACTACTTCCTCAAAAATTAAGCTTAAGATAACATGGAAATCTACTTCAATACATAGTCTAGCAAGGGTAATAGAAAAGGCATTGGAGTATAAACAGATTACCCTTTGCGCATTGCTGGACATCTTAGATACGTTTTATAATTCTTCATATGAAACAACATTCGATGTCATGGCAGAGACAGATATTTCTAAGGTAACAACTGAGAAGATCATCATTCATAAGCATGTTGAAATTTAACACTTCTCGTGGTTGTGATAAAGGGGTGTTATATCTGCCTTACTATGTTCGCTGGCTGCTGATGAGCTGCTGGAAAACTTAAAATTCAATGTATTCAAAGCTTTTGGTTATCTAGTCATCATCGTGGTGGGCTGGCATGCAAACACCATCGCCTCTAGATTGCAAGCAGCCTTAAAACTGACTGTAGATAATTATTTTGGCGACTACAGGGATACGCGACTGCTGTGGTTGTGGCCATATTGGATCTATTTCTATTTTTCCAGCGACATATAAGGTTCTTCCTCTTCTTTTATGTCAACCTCATTCAAATTCATGATGTCGCTGCCGCGTTCTAAAAAATCATGTCACCACTGACAAAGCGTTTAAATAATGAAGATAACAAATTGGAATCTGCGGCCCGTAGCTCTTCGTTTTCACTTTACGTTCACGTTCAACACTTAAGGCCGAGGGCACGCAATGAGCGGCTGCGCGGTGGGCGATGGTCGGCTGAGCGGCGCCATACAGAAATGCGCGCCCACTTCACTAGTATTTCATATGTTTTAATTTTAAGCCGCTCACGGCTCATTGCGAGGCCTCGGTCTAAGGCTACTAAGGCATTTTATGCTTATCTAAGACGTCGTGGTTAAACATGGGGGATATCACCCCATCTGCCATTAAATTTAAGGATAAAACTATTTTCACGTATGCAGCAAAGGCCCAAAGTCAAGTCAAGTCAAACTGGTTCTGGTACCATTCTGCGAAAGTTACACGATTAGTCTGTGTAGCCATTACAGTAGCCATGTGCACCTGGCCAATGGAAGCACTGGGAATTATCAGAGGTATATCAACTCATCTATACTAATTGGAAATGAGGCTGGCTGGGGCGCTTTGTGACTTAGCAACTTGCGAGCAGGGAGTGGAGACCTTCGGTGCACTTGGCAGTATTAAAACCATTCATTGACGATCCCGTCAGCAAGCTCACAGGCAAAGTGCAACCGAAAATGTTACCCAACATCGGTAATTTCTGAAATGGACACTTTCGTAGAGGCAGTGACAACTATTGGCAAGGGCTCCTTTGCAATTGGAATCTGCGGCCACAAATGTCTTCGTAGAAGAACTAATGCGGCAAGGACAAATATCATTTTCGACAGTCAGACAGCACTAAAAGTCCAAGACTTACTTAAAACTAAATCAAAAGTCTAACATAATTGAACCAACTAAATATGCATAAGAGGCAGTCTCTTTGGTGGGTGCCGACACATGAGAATTTCGATGACATTATTAAACTTTTTGTCGCATCCATGAAAAAATTGAGCACTTTCGGTAAGTAGAGACAAACGAGAGAGATCTAGACGTTTTTCTAGATCAAGTCATTTACAGTGTCAAGTCATTTACAGTGTCAAGTCATTTATGTGGTTATTTGAGTCACTAATTACAAAACGGAAATCAGTTTTAGGAAATTCAAAATGGCGGACCCAATATGTCAAATGGATTTTTAAAAACCAGAGTTCCTAAGTAAGTGGGAGGATTATTCGGCGAATGCCGAAGGGTAAAAAAGCAATCTAAAACAAGTAAGAAAGTCTAAGTTCAGGCGGAGCCGAACATTAAATACCCAGCGCAAATATTAAATAAATGTTTTTTCATCTTTCCGAAACCTACCGCTAGATGGTAAGCCGGGGTGTATCAATTTTGAGTAAATTAGCGTCCTTAAATTTCGAAATATTGCAGTTTCAAGCATTTCTGAAATGTACCGTTATATGAAAAGCGGCCGTAATTTTAGTCCGATTTCAATAATTTTCAACGGTTTGCTTTTATGTGGCAAGCACAATAATCATACCGAGTTTGGTAAAAATTGCTAGAACTGTTACCGATATACATAAATGTGATCATAAGTGGGCGGTGCCACGCCCATTTTCCAAAATTTTATCATAAGCGTATTTCTTGGTAAAGGATTGTTGCAAGCATCAATTTTGAATAAATTAGCTTTAATATTTACTGATTTATCGAGGATTTCGTATTTCTCCAAATTACCGTTATATGGGATGTGGGCGTGGTTATTGTCCGATTTGAAAACTTTTCGGCCATTTGGTGTCCTGTACCAAGGCCAATAACTGTGCCAAGCTTGGAAGAAATCGGTGCAGCGGTTGCCAAGATATACACATGTAACCATAAGAGGGCGTGGCTACGCCCATTTTTAAAAAATTTATAATATTCTTATTTTTCGTCTAAAAATTATTGTAAATATCAGTTTTCAGTGAATAATCTTCAGTAGTTACTAAAATATCGCAGTTTTCGTATTTCTGAAAGCTACCGTTATATGGGATGTGGGCGTGGGTATTGTCCGAGTTTTCCCATTTTCAACACCATCCGTCCTACGCCCGAAAGAAGTACACGTACCAAGTTTCGTTAAGATATATTAAGTTTTACTCGAGTTATCGTGTGCACAGACGTACGGACAGACGGACGGACGGACGGACAGACAGTCACCGCTTAATCGATTTCTCTTTTCATTCTGATCATTTATGTATACATTTGTCTATATCTATCTCGATTCGTTTTTCCTGATACAAACAACCGTTATGTGAACAAAGTTATAATACCCTTGTGCACAAGTGCGCTCGGGTATAAAAAAAATTATAACACCTTCTAAAATAATCTCGGAACGACTTCTGATTCTTAGCCGGAAGGGCCTGAAGACTTGCACAGGTTACTTCACAGGACACTGAAGGTTCAGATATCATCTTATCTAGATCAAATTTTCTGCAGATACGGACTGAAGGTTCTTGCAGGTGGCAGATAAAACCCCAGAGCACATAAATATTATGCTATCCATCAAGTATATGGGACCTATGACTCTTACAATTCGGGCAGCGGTCATCGTCTCCGTCCAAGTACCAAACTTCATAAATACCCTAAGGAAGGAGAAAACTTAGCTCATAAAAATACAACGATTGCGCTAGCTTGGACATGTTGTACGTATGGAGGGCGACGATCCGATGAAAAGATCACCCCCATGGGTGGACAACGGTAGCAAGGGGCCCACGAACACAATGGAAGGACCAAGTGCAGAAGGACCTGTCCGCACTTTGGATTAACAACTGGCGCAAGTCCGCAAAAGAGAGTGGCAATTGGCGAGGTTTTTTGGTCACGGCCCAAACCGGCAACGGTTGTAGTGTCAAATAAGAAGAAGAAGAAGAAGAAGAAGAAGGAGAGAACTTACACAGGATTAGCACAATAGATTTATGTATATACATAAGCATGCAGGTCGCAGGATGATATGTAGTTTCCAACACCTCAATTCTTCGATGGTTCAAATAGTTTGAAATTTTATTAAAAAGCTTATCATAAAACTATTCCTATTTCACTAGGAATCAAAATATATCAAAATAATCATTAAATAGCAAGATTTCTATTTTTAGACCAGTGCAAAATATCGATTTTTTGATTTTAAATTTTTCGATCAAAGATATTCGTTATTTTGGATTCTAATTTTTTCGCAATTTTTAACCGTTATAATAAAGGCTGTGTTTTTATGAATGATTATAATATAGACTGCGTTTTTAAAATGTTTATAATCTTTTAAAAAATTAAATCTGAAGATAACGGTTATGGTATTATTGAAATTAAAATCCAAAAAAAAAAAACGATTATTCTTCATTGAACTAGGTTAATAGGAAAAAAATATTTTTAAAACAAGGTTTCTGAATATGCATCAAATCGAACCCCGTGTTCTTTATGGAGCTATTCCTATTAATGTATTTATTATATAATTGGTTAGTACACGGTTTCTAAATATCTCAACGCCTGCGCCCCCTAGCGGAGTAATTCATCCTTCGTATTACATTGCCATCGGGTTTATTATAAACACCATAACCACTACGAGAACTGTTTATATCTCTAATCACTACTGTAATTTTTTAGGAATGCTAATATTTTAAAAGTGTATTAGATTTAAGATTTTTTTTAAGTGTATTTGTAGCTGGAATTAAATGCTAAGCTAGCAATGTATGATAAAAAAATGTTAACACATAGTATTTTAAACCTAATTTGGTGGTTAATTTACATGACATTTGTAAGCAGCCCTATGCATTAGGAAAGCTTAAATATTTATCTTATGAAAAAACATTTTTAGAGTTAAAGAATGTAGTTACTTCAGAATGTATGTATGCCTAGCAATAAAATATGTATGCATGTATGCATTTTATTTATTGTTGTCGAATTTGCTTTCGTTTCTTAAGAGGAGCCATTTGTTTTTAGCAACTAAATTAAATATCGGTTAATCGGTATGTTGACAATCGAGTTCTTTTAAATTTTAGATATTATTTACAAATCGACCGAAAAAGTGCTACATTAAAATACTTACTTTTACGAAGGCATCAATCCAAACCGGTCAGTTATTAAGTAATGCTGGTCAAGCTGATTTTCTGCCAAATAGATTGTAATTTATGAAGCGCGAGCTGTAATACGAACTTTTACTTAGCCAAAAAAGGACTCATTAACTTTCGATACATTCGATACACTGGTTATGTATTTGCTCAGATCTGGCAACGGGCTCCATTTGGTTTGCCATTTTATCGTGGATAATCTTTCGCCGGAAAAACGCGTGCAAAAAACATAGATAAAACATTTGGTCAACGCGTTACTTTTCGAAATGGGCAGTTGGTTGAGTACCGCGAGCGTGCCGCGATTTACCGCCGTTAGAATATTTTCTCCGAATTTACGTGAAATCATTCAGAAAAGAGCTTTGTGTGTCTACCGTTGCCGTTATAAAGCACCCATTGCGTGAAAAGCGAAATGGTCGAAAATTGGACTACCAGCATGCTGCACAGCCGAGTCTGTGGCGGTACAAACGTGCACGAAATTATATTCTAACGATAAGGGCATGTAATTAGCTATTTAATTAAGTAAGTGTTTTGTTTGAAATTATGTATAAACACTCATTATTTTAATTCAATTTAAAGTTCTATACCCCTAACTCCTTTTTTTCGACGCAGAGTTCTCTTCAACCACTGCATTTGTCGTAACTGGTGTATGGAATCGTTGAGAAGCATACAGCCTTATTCTGTATCACGAACGATAGGCAAAACGAACGATTCGTCTGCAGACGACAACCCCTCTGATTGCGATTTTAAACTCTATCGGTCGTCTTCGTCTTGCTTTTCATACATTACGTTGCAATGGTCTCGCTTGCATTTAAACCGGCTAAAATGATGCCACCGGACTAATTTTTGAAGCATTCCTCTGCAGACGAATCGTTCGTGTTGCCTATCGTTCGTGATACAGAATAAGGCTGATAATCTTAAGATTTGGTTGTGCGCTGGGTTTGCGTTCTGGCACAAAAAAAAAAAACAAATTTCCATTAAAAGCAAGATATTACCTGGAATGGGACGCTTTTCAGTTGATGTCTACTATAGCTGTCAAGTAAATGAGTGAAAACTGTGTTGGTTGCGCGTACGCACTGACAGGAGAGTAGGAGCATCTCCCGATAGAACCGAAGGTCGAGCACAATCGGCATCGTCGAAGTCCGACGCAGAATCGTCCTTACCAACAGGTGCTACTTGGGACTGAGTAGGCAATTAAGAAGTAAAGTCTTTTCTCGACATACGAAAACCATAATTTATAAGTCACTCATCTTGTTTGTGCTGGTTCCGCCGCGACGGCTTGGTTATGTCGTTGGGATGGTTGAGGAACTACTACCCAGTCGGAAAAGTAGTAATGCATTACATGCGTGATAAATACTGTAATGTATCAAAAAAGTCCCAAAAATTTCGTATTAAATCCCACTCATTTCTCGATACTAGGTAATGCAAAATTGAATGCCCCACTTTTCTTAGGACATCGCCGCACAGTGTATTATTTCCATATTCTAGAAAATATTAATTAAATTATTTTATGTCGCCAAATTTCAAAACAACTTCAGAAATGTTTTTAAAAATGCCTGATAAAGACGGAAAAATAACAACTACAAAATTTAAATCAAGGTGTCGGGCGGGACGGGGTTTGATTTGGAAAATTACCAAGCGCAATAATATTTAAACTTGTATATTTGAAACTGAATCTCAATGTTTAATTTGTCTGTGTTATGTGATTTATGCAAAAATTGCTAAAATACCTTTTTGGTCTTATTTTTTTAGATATGTTCTTTTTAATATATATACATTTTTAGGATTGTAGTAAACTAGGACTGAGTATTTCATGTAAAAGTAAAACGATGCTAACTTAAATTTATTTTTAGCAATTTATTAATTTCATTAGACCCGCAAACTCGTTATCCGCGATTATTCGATAAAATTTGCATCTCAGTTTATTTGCCACTCCTCTTTGACTTTAAACAACAAATTTTAGCTGATGAAAAGTGCTGGTTTTGATATTTTTTTTTTCAGGCCTACTAGGAAGTTCATATCATTCGAGTAATTTATTAGCATTTTATCTTAACCGAGACAAATTTTTGTATTTTCACTTTTGAATAGAGAAAGCATGGTTCATTACCTTTCCAATGGTACCCAATCTTTGTAAATAGAGCAAGAAATATTGAACTTATAATGGAATTTTTTGACCCAACTTGACTTTTTTATCCATGGGGGAAAATGCATTTTCGAATGTGAAAAGCGTTGTTTTACTGATTATTTTTTCGATAACTAAACATTACATTTTCCCACTAGGTAATTTATTGTATGTACATATGTTTCACCTAAATTTTCCATTATTTTTAAAATTTGCTGGTAACTTATTGCTATGTACATTAATACATATGTATGTAGCCCTATTACCCGCACCCACTAGATATCTAATATTAAACCACACTCTAATTATACATTCTTAATAAAATTTTATTAGATTATTGGTCGAGACGGCAACTAATTCTTGTGAAATATATTCACCACGATCTCCAATGATTCCAGGCGCGGAATCGTTCCTGTGCTTCGTTCAGTGTAGTTAATTTTGTATCGGGTATCGTGAACAGGAATAGCAGAAAGCAAGCAAATAGATAGGCGTAGGTGAATGTATCGTATGCAAAAACGTGAAGATTCATGTGATATGTACAGATTACGATAATATGCACAGCACACTCCACACTAATGCACAATGCTATAAAGTATGGTTTCAGCAACATCGGGAAGGCTTCACCCAAATAAAGTGTGCTTGTAGGTGCATATAAGCCGGCGAAAAATTGAAAGATCATTAAAAGCGCACACGCCATGCTCATTTGATACCCATTTTGCCAATTATCTCTGTGGGCAAACAAAACAGCTATACCAATGCCAAGGCCACCCATGACCAATAAACCGATTAAACTCGGGATTTTGCGCCCAATTAAATCAAGCATTGTCACGGCAGTGAACACTCCCAATATGCGTAGTGCTGCGTAAATGGTCCATGGCCATTGATTACCGCTGGTAATGCCCCAAACAGAGCCCAGCATCAATTGTTCATTGTAAAAATACGAGAATGTGAATGCGACTGCAGCACGATACAGGATCATTCTTGCAAGTGGACCCAATCCACGTGTAAAACTTTCATTTTTGCCTAAATATTCATTCATCATGACATAGTTTTTATGCTCCTCCAACAAAGCCTTTTTCTCATCCGTAAGTACAGTGGGCAGTTGAAGACGTGTCAAGCAGTCCAATGCTTGAGCATCATTGACGAGACGCACAAAGAAAACAGGTGATTCGATTACAATGTACGCTAATCCCAATGCGATCAAGCCGAAGGTGAGACAACAGATGCCGTGTACACGGTTCGCTGAAATGGTAATGCCGCCCGACCAGAAGCCAGTGTAAGTCGCTTGTATAAATATGCCAATGGCAATGGAAAATTGTTCGATCCCCAAGTGACCGCCACGTCTCGAAATTATGCTGATTTCACTGCAGTGCATAATAAAAGGTACCGTTATGAGACCAGTTCCAATACCGTTTAAATAACGTGCTGCGAGTAAAGCTACCTCGTCATGTGGGCATACTGTGTATACAATTCCTGATACCACAACCACAAAACTGCTGAGTAACTGTGGGACAAGGATGTAAAAGACACTTTGAGTTTGTTTTAATTCTTGAGTATTGCCATATTTGGTGTTACTTACTACAAAGTATCGCTTGATTGAAATTTGTATAAGCGGCGCAGACAGTAGCACACCAGCTATTACGCCAATGAACCATGCGAATCGGAAGTGATTGGAGACCTGGTAATAGCTATAGCCTAAGCCAAGCGCCAGATTCATGCCCGATGATAGGAAAATCAGCGCATCTATATGAGAGACAGAGAGAAAAAAGTGAATATAATATATCCTATACATAAGTAGAACTGCAAAAGAATTGCCCAAAGACAGTAATTATAGATACATATGTATTTTGAATTATTCTGACTTTAGATTCGGATTCATCGAAGATAAATAAATTGAAATAGACCAGCTAAGTTCCTCGGCCAAACTGTTGTGGGTCTGTGTTAATGAATAAACACTTTGGGGCATGCACATAAAACATAAGTTTTGGTCGAGATACTACGCTACTGCATTTCAACGTATTTTTGATTTACGAGATATTCTCAAAAAATTTCTCTCTAACTCCTGTTCTTGAGCAGCTTTTTGAGTTTCCCTCATAACCTGATTCCGGATTCGGATTTAGTGTGAAAAAATAAATTGAAATTTGTATGTACCCGCCCAAGCGGTAGTATCTTAGGATGCCAGTCACGCCCTAAGAGGATTTTGCTTCATCTATAGCAAATATTTTTACAGTGGTTAAAAATCTAAAAATTTTATAGCGGCTACAACAACTCCGCCCAGATCGGCTAGTTCCTCAATCGTTGTAGTCAAGCTCAACTAATGAAAGACCCAAGAAGCGTGTAGCTTCACTTCACTTCAAATAAACTAATTCTTATCTTCGGAGATATACATATCGTCACCTGAATTGCAAAAAGACGTCACAAGCATCGTCACTGAAACAGAAAAAGTCGTGACTAATAATTTATATTTTATTTTTATTTTTTTAACCGACTTCCAAAAAAGGAGGAGGTTATCAGTTCGTCGGAATATTTTTTTTTTTTTATGTATGTTACCGCATAACTTTGCACCACGTCAACCGATTTCAATAATTCTTTAATTCATTTTCAACGGAAAGGTAGTGTCTCAGAGGTGGTCCCATACTAATTTGGTTTAGATCCGATCATTGGATCTTGAAATATATAGATATATATATATTTTTTTTAAGTCCGTTTGTTTTTTGCTAAAAATGACTTGTTCATAAAACGATATGGTGAGTAATTCATCATTTCAGTCAAAAATTGAATTTTGAATTTTATATAAGTTAAGACTATTTGCATTTCAGCGACGATGTTTGTTACGTCCTTTTGCATTTCAGGTAATGATAAAATCAATATTAAGAGGAAACTTTTTTGTGCAACATTTTAGCCACTTAACCCAATCGAAATGGGTCTTTTTAGCATTCATTTGAAGAATTTCAATGCGAGTTCATTAAAAATGAGAGTGAGTGGATTAAAATGTTCTAAAAAAATGTAAAGTAGATATTTTACTAGGCTTAACCGAAGATGAAAAAATATCCGATGGTGTTATATATCTCTTTTTAGAGGGCGATAATTTCGTAGAACATTTTAGCCCCTTAGCTCAATAATTCATCCTTTTGGCCAATCAATTGAAGAAGTTTGTTAATAATGGCGATCACCCTCCAAGATATCCACTTAATATTTCTTCTTTGGGGAATCAGCTGAAGTAACAATTGCACGGTGTTATAAAATACAAAAAATCGCACGAACTTTTTATGTGACCTAGTACAGGTCGTAGAGCTGGCCAAACACTTTTTTCCGCCATTGTTTTCAAGATGCCGGTAATTTAACAATCTTCAGCGTAACGAAAGTCAAGTTTTAAATTCCCTGCGTTTGAATTTACATATTCATGTTATGACAGGTTCCGCTTAATGATGTGTCAAATTTTTGTCGTAAACCAAGGCGAAATCGGTTAACGTGTTCCAAAGTTATGCGGTAACATACATACAAAAAAAAAATATTCCGACGAACAAGGTTATCCTCTTTGTGTGAGTCGGTTAAAAATTAAAATATAGACATATTGGACCACCGAAATACATATTTGGCGGAACTGATTAAATGGAATGGAATTTTTTTTTTAATTTTTCGTCTCTCACTTTTAGGGAATTTTTAAGAACAGTGGAAATTTGATTTTCTGGTATACTTCATGTTTTATATTTTTTTTTTAGTTTCCGTTATATTCCAGCGTTTTATGAATTATTTAGAGTTCTCCGAACTTCACGGGATTACTACGGTATACCTACGGCAACTGTAGCAAGACTACTCCAATGGAGTCATCCCATTTATAAATGGTAAAAGGGTTACATCTTACGCTACCGCTTCATCGATCTACCCGCACATCTCTCTATCTCTATCGCTCTCTCTCTCTCTCTCTCATATGACGAATTGCGTAGTGAACTACATACATTTCGCCCATCCATGTAAGATCTTTGTTTTGAAAATAAGTACTGAACACATTGAAAACGCCAAGCTATGGCCCAGAGCTTCCAATTTGTTATCATCATTATCAAACCGCTTTGTCGATGGCGTCATGAATTTTTTGAACGCGGCAGCGACATCATGAATTTTTATGAGTTTGACATAAAAGAAGAGGAAGAACCTTATCTGTCGCTGGAAAAATAGAAATAGATCTAATCTGGCCACAAACACAGTCTTCGCGTAGCTCTGTCGTCGCCAAAATAATTTTCTACATGAGAATACGTGAAAAAATAATTTGAAAGCTGTGGTCCGCAGCTCGTCGTTTTAATTGTGTTCGGGCTATTAGTGATAAGTAGCGAAAGGATTTTATGGAAATTGCCTTTTTTTCTGCTAAAGAGATAAAGTATATTCGATTAAGAATGTCCACGATTTAGCTTTTCCTGATTCCATATACATATACACATTTGATGTTGCCTTTTATGCCGTTTTTAAGATATTTGCTTGTAGTTGCCTACTGTACCTTTAAAATAGTAATTATAGCGAGGAAAAAGCCCTTACTCCTGATAATATAAAAGTTTCAAACGTCCCATATTTAAATTGGGCGCCACTTGTATCAACTCACGTCCAGTACATTCAAAGCTGTGTTAAAGCCTGTTCTGTTACAAAAAATCAAGTTGATAATGAAGAAAATCGATGGATAAATAAAGAAGTAATAAGTAGTCATATGAAAATGGGCAAAAGATTTTTTGTATGGAAAATTAACTGCAAAGAATATTATTCATACGCCATGCACACCTGAAAATATCTCGAAAGCTTATCCATGGAATAAAAAATTAACTCGATTTTCGGAGTCAGCGAGCAATTCCCTATAGGAATTGGATAGTGGCGTCCGTTGAATATCGTGTAATCGATTGTTATTTTTCAGTTTTTGTCAAACTAACTTTTGCCTTTTTTGCTATTTCTAGTGTTTTCCTGCCTATTTCGCTATTTTGGTTTGCGTTTTCCAGCCTATTTCGTTATCATATTTTGCCTTTTTAATAGGCTTTTAGGTCCCAAAAATCCGTTCCCTGGTGATTATACTACCCGACTAATATCAGTACTTTGTTCCCATGCAGTTTTTGTGCTTCTTGGTCCCTTCTTGTGTGATTTTCAGCGAAATGCTTTTGACTTTGCCCAAGTTGCAAAACTGTGCTATTTATCTGCCCATGACTGTACCTACATACATATACACAAATGTATGTATGTAGTAGAAAAATATGTATGTACAAATTAATGCTACGAACCTACGTTAAAAACGTCAGTTAAGTTTCAATAGATTCCCTGTGTGGTTGTTCAAAAGTTTTGCTACTTACCTGGGATTAAGGCAATGGTTTGTGGACGATATTCCCAAATCGACATTCTATTTTATTTTTATTAATGCTAATCTTCGTCGTTTAAAGAATTTACGGATTAATCCGATGCGCTTATACGTGTGCTATAGAGTAATAGCAATTAAGAACTGAATTTGCGATAATATTTATTACATGAGAAGCTATCGAAAGTTTGGAAGCACGTAGCATTATCAATGGACAAATTTACTCGTACATACATGCGACAGATAAAGAGTCGTTGTTCGAACAAGAAAGTACAAAATTACCCTATTCAAGTATTCCTAAATTTTTGCACACAAACAATTGAAGCAAATATAAATGTTTTATTTTTAGTTATTAAATAGAGTTGTGTGTAATTACAGACATAAATGCGTACATATGTAATGCATATGTACCCATATACGATTGCACATATTTATTAGTATTTCGTCATAGTAGTCGATAATGAGTCATTATCTGAACGCTGAAGTTCGTTTAATAAATAATTGTAAGCCTATTATTTTAAAGGGCCATAAACACGGCGACCTCTCAAAAGATCTATTGTAAGCCTACACTCGTATTGAAATGTAATGAATCCAGCGAGGAAAGGTAACTGGTGCTGAAATATATGGTAATCCTTTAACAGAACATGTGTTTTACGAAATTGATATATTGTAAGGTGCAGCAGCACACATAACTGGATATATGCAAAAAATATTCATGGCTACATATCTCCAAATCAAACTGTTTAGGCCTTCAGCCAAAATAAGAAAAACGTAATAATCAGATGACGAACATTTTTCTGTAGCTCATAGTTCAAGCTCTCGACTTACATGACTCGGTGCAAAAATAATTAACAAGTTCCTTAAATCATGTGGACCGCAAAATCCGTTGGAAAAAAATATTCATTAAAAATCAACGCGATTTTTGAGCCGCTTAAAACTTGATCTTGTTTCACTAGAATTTTTCTAAAAATTCAGATTAAAAAGGTCAAAATTTAGATGAAAATTCGTTGAATTTTTTTAAGTTCTGTTTAAAGTTTGACTTATGTGGTTTTAATGAAACCATGAACCATATTTTTATCAAAATGATTGATTGCCAGTGTATATACATACATACATACCAATGCACATAATCCGATCTATGCTTTTTGATAACAAACACTGTGTAACAGAATTTTCGCAACATCATAATTGGTTTCAGGTACCTGCCCGCAATTGAAGTGCCCAATTCAAAGGTACTATCATTTAGCAAAATTCTCAAGATATATCACCGGAAAATACTGAAAATTTGCTTCAGATAATACCCTCTTAATTTAAAATACATGTATGCAAGTTTTATGTACAGTATGTAATAAATAAATAAACGTTTTAAAATTCATAAACTGCACTTTATTTACAGATTAACAGAACTCAAACGCTTTTAACCGACTTCAAAAAAAAGGGAGGTTATCATCTCGCCGGAATACATAACTTTGGACCAAGTGAACCGTTTTCAATAATCCTTTTTTTATTAGAAAGATAGTACCTCAAGGTCGTCCCGTAATTTGTTTTAGAGATCCGATGATTGGATCATGAAGAAATTAACGGTACCCCTAAATTTGAATATGAGAATTAAAGTCGGTTGTGTTTTTTCCTTAAAAACTACTTGCTTAATAAAAAGTTCTATAAATTCAAGATGCCCTCAACTTTCAAAAGTACCTAATAAAAAATTTTAAAAAAGATTCAGTAAAAATAAATTTATTGATTCCATGAATTTTTGCACTTCTATGTTCATTCTTTCGATTTCTGGTTTTCGATAGAGATGGTGATTTTTCACGATTGCTAAATTTTTTTAATATTTCAAATACCGAAAAAATTAACTGAACTCTCAAGAAAAACGAAAAATTCATATAAAACGACGGACGAGAAATAGAAAAGAAATTTTCTTCTACCAAAATTTCTTAAATCAGTTTGCAGCTCTCAAGAAAAAAATGCTCGTATATTTATTCCCTCATGAAAATTTACAGCAAAAGCAAAGCGCTTTTTCAAGCAACAGAAATTATAACAAATCTTTCTTATAATTTCCTTGAGAGCTGGATTCTTAGCTTTAAGATACAGATTGTATTTGAGGTTATTAGCTTTAGGGGGGGTTTGAACCCCAAAACCCACCCCTTGTGTGCGCTAATGGTTAGCAAATTACTTGCTGCCATGGGCATGCAATCAATTTGATTCGAAGCACTGAACATTTCAGTAGGACTCGGCACCATTAAATAAAGCCAGAAGTACTCGAAATTGGATAATGGAAAACTTCTCTGGTTTATATAAAATTTAGCGCATCCTAAAGGCAAAAAGTGAGTATGTGCTAAGAAACAATCAACGCTGGATACGCTTAAATTCTTTAGTTACTGGTACAGAACCGAAAAGAGAGGATCATCATTCGTATAACATTCGTACAAGGGGGGTGATTTTCAATGGAGTGATGTTAAACCAAACATTTAATAAAATTATTCAGCGAAGCAACAAATGAATACAAACTACTTTTTTGTACATTGTTTAGTGAATCTAAAAGTACTAAGAGCTTTTGAGCGCGGTATTTAAAGTGGTCTAGGGAATCTAGGAAATCAATCGTAATTTTTAGCCATTTAAAACTTGTACTTTATTCTACTTTGTAGTAAATCTAACAAAAAAGCCATACATTTTTATAAAAGTTCCTTTATATTAATATTTTTATTGAGCTTTGTACCACGATTGTTTATTAGGAAAAATTGAAAAAGCAACAAAGTCTAAGCGGTAGAAGTTATAGCACTATTTCGGAGATCACCACATCTCCTCATCAGACTTCTTTTTCTAGACTTCAGCAGGGATCGAACCTGCGAATTCGATGTTCAAAGTCAGAAGCGTTAACCACTGAGCTATGTACATCCCGTTCCTTTATATTATTTTTAAGTATTGTTTAAGAATGACCTATATTTTTATAAAAAATGACCACACTTAAATTACAACAAAAATAATAAGTTAAAACTTGTGAAAATGTGGTTCGGCCAAAATTTTTTCGATAACTGTACTTGTATATAGTTAGGTAAATTTAAAATTTTTTATTTTTGCTAAAATTGCAATATCCTTCAAAACTATTAGTTCTGCATAATTTTGTATTAGTGTCTCTTTTGCATACAAAAATGAGAAATGACAAGGTTAAGCGGCATAAGCTTGACATTTTTAATCAGCAATAACTTCGGAATCGTAAGTCACATGACTTTGAAATTTGGTGTGTTGACATACATATGTATCTATGGTAGATGCTTGTCGTAAAGTAGATATACTCATCCTTTTGCAAAAGGGGCGTGGCACATTCTATAAGAGTGAAGTTTTTAATCAGCCATAACTTCGGAATCATACGTTACATGAATTTGAAATTCTGCCCTGCATCGTAAAATATACTTTTACAAAAAATGGTGTCGACAGATGGCGCCGGAGTCGAGATATTTGGAGAACCCGTCTTTATCGTATGATCTGAATGAACGGGTATTAACTTTATGATAAGAAGTGCTTCTGTAAAAAAATGGGCCCAAAACATAGATGGCGCTAAAATCAACATAATTAGGTGCCCCTCTAAAAATGTACATTTTAGATGATTCTAGGCACATCAACGGGTCATCGCTATACCAAGAAGAAATGTACTGAATTACAGAGAACACGTTAGGAATATCAATGACCCCATTTGAACGGGAAAACTTTCATCCTGTGGAACAGCAGGATTATAGAAAAAAGATTACGCACTCTCGGCAAACCTTGCAATTGCATCGAAGGAAATTAGTACTTAACACAAATGTTATTTTAGCGCTATTATTCTTGGCCTATGAGTAAGCAAGGATCTTCTCTTCAGTCCTTTCGACCTAAACTAATATTTTTTTTATAGTACAAACCTTTTTTGCATAGCAACACTATTTTTGTATTGGTCAACACAAAAGTTCTTATAAGGCGTCGCGAAGCAAGCCAGGCATTTGCTAGTCACTAGTATAAAATCTAAAAAATCGGATTCTCGGCACACCCTAATGCACATATTTACATAATTATTAAATCACTTTTAATTACAATAGTATAACCTAGTTAATTTCCTCGGGACTCCCATAAAATGAATATTGTTCGTGTAAGTGTAGCACGTGGGAATTACCGGGGTGAGCAATTTATTTTATAAAAAACTGTAGAATGAGTCAACGATTTTTTTCTACTTTTTCTTGTTCCCTAAATATATGTACGTAACACCAACATTTCTTTTGGCTTTGTCTTTAAATCTAACATGAGTATTTTTATCATCAAGGAGCTGTCTTCATAAATCATCGAAGTGTCACATGATTTATTATGAACTGGTCGCAGTAGTATATAGCAGGGCTTCGGGGCAAAGGTTTTTTCATCGCTCCGAATTTGTTTTTTTCTTGTTGATCCAAATATGCATCTATGGGCTCTAGAAGCACTTTTGTATCCTAAGGAAAATAAAAAAAAAATTCGATTACGTTTTTTTCGCGGTTAGGGCTCGATATACAAATGCAGCCATTTTATTGGGTATACATAGATATATACATATGCGCAGTTATTTATATGATCCCAATATATTTTGTCTTTTAAATAAAACTAGTGAACCCACATGGCGTCAAAACGGCAGCTTTTAATTAAATTTTTTAAACAGGTGAAACCCTATTCAAAAACCTCACAACAATATTCCTAATAATTAATCTAAACCATTTCTCAGTGAGAGAGGTCTCGCATGGTGTCGGTTTTCATCTCATCAAATTTCAAATCTCCCTGTAACTTAAAAAAATAAAACATGTGCACATCTATGTAGAATCCTAGTTCTTTTATTTGACTTCTCATTTTGGAAATTCGAAATAACGGTGCAGATGTGATGACCTTAAAAAAAAAAAATAAATAGCAACTCTAATTAAGAGTTATTTCGTAACACTTTTTTGTTTTATATCGATAATTGAATTAAATTAGACTTTTCGAACAGGATGCAACCCCAAGAATGATAGAATTCTCTCAAGTATAGTATTCTCTCAATCGTGATGCAACCCTATTAAAAATATGTTCAATCTAAAATCTTCTTAAATCTCTT